AGCTAATAAAGGTGGTAAGGGGGGGGGGGGGAGGGGAGAGGGGGAGAGAGCTTTTAAGAGCTTTTACTCTGAATCCCAATACCTGGTTACCAAAAAACAAAAAGAAAACAAGGCTTTTCATTTGTATCATGAATGTAACACAATCAACATAAGCAACTGAGGAGATATTTACTCCTCACTAACCTTCCGCGGCATCAATGTAGTCCTCATCCTCTCGCTCAACAACGTCATCCACAGGATAAGTAGCTCGGTTTGTTACTAAAGCTTCACCTTTCTTTCCTATAAAATAAAATGATACAACAAGAAAATCGCAATTCAGATTTTTAGAATGTGTTTTAGTATTTGCGCAAAAGCTTAATACAACTACAAATCATAACCAATAAAATATCAAAAGAGCCACCCGTGAGAGACGCCAAACGCGGCAAACCGTGTGCGATTCAATTAAATGCACTAGCTTCCAAAGCCAATGACGCATATTATCACAGCATGAAATTATAAATTTACGAATCTGTAAATATGCCGTAAAGTAAGCGAGGAGATCCTCTTTACGCGTCTTTACGAACTTCTTTACACTTTCGTAAAGATTGTCTTTACGCATTGAACACGATAGTACGTAAAGATCAGGGAGAAACTAAAAACGCTATCTTTACGTGCCTTTTAAAAAGTCGTATAGAGGATATTTACGATATTTTAAAGCGACCGTATTATTATTATTACTATTAAAGACGTGTAAAGTGTTAAAAGCGAAACTGGTCAAAATACCACGGTAATTCTACGGAAAATGGATGAGCAATAATTATTTCACTTCTTTGAGTATTTCTCCAAATAGAAAGTGCTTGATTATATCCATCTTATTCCTTATCCTTTACGAACATTCAATATCCTTTACGCAGTCTTTACGCTTTCTCCGCATTTACGTATCTTTACGGAACGCGGAGCTTGTCCGTAAAGAAGAGGCTTTATATTTACGTTCTTTACGCAAGAGATAAAGATGCGTAAATTTGCGATTTCATGCTGTGATTGTAACAATACAAAACTGCATGAATTCAGAAGTACATCCGACGCCGCTTTTGTTATCTTATATTATCATAGTTGTACCCTTCCAATAAAAATGGCGTCGAAGCCACGTGCGACGTATACTCTCACACTAAATTGCAAATTAACTATTTGTAACAGAGTATTGCGTCTAAAATTGATGGAACTCACTTTGCCTCGCATTTCTCATCTTTTCGATGCACGATCTTCCATTGGAGACTTTGTCCTCAATTGCTTTACACAAAGCTTTAAGTAAGGGGACTACTACTTTCCCTTCGTTTTCCAAATCTGCAAAGCAAGCATTTCATTTTGTATCTATCCTGACGCTGTATGTTATCAATTACAAATAAAACTGACCAAAAGCAGCTTCCTGTTTCCTCTTCCTCTCCCCCATTCCGCCCTTTCTCCACTTAATCCAGGCTTTCAAAACTATTGTCTCATTCACACTTACGTAAAATAAAATCATATCCTCATCTCACCTGAAAAATGTAACTCCTCCTCTTTCTCTCTATGTTTTATATCTTTACACACTGCAATCAAAAGAATCTCAAATAGCTGTGTTACTAGTTTTAGGGATGAGTTACTTAACAAAAACTTCCCCACTGAAGGATATCATTTTCTTACATCGAGCAGCATATGCCTCTTTTCCTATCAATAGAACGTAAGCTTAGTCGAGAGAGCATAAGCTCCTGTTTTCTTAATCCTGAGCCAACCTAATAACTCAGATTGAGTGCATGAACGTTCGGTTTCAGAATCATTCAAGAACTGCAGTTTTAATTTGGAACAACTAAGCTGTTCTTTCCGTCTGCCAGGGCCTGTAATTTCGACTTTTGAACAGCCGCATTTTCACGTCATTGATTTAGTCAGCCGAATAATTGTGCGACGATCAATTATCGCATAAAGAATAAAAACACCCTTTTTTTAAACCACTGAAAATCGTAAGGTTGCAATCAAGTAAGTCCTGCATTACAAATTGCCTATGACGTCACTATTTCGACGTAAAATAATTATTCATTGCAAAGGTAAGGGAATCATGAATTTCGGAACCACAATATCTCATCAAATGATAAACGTTCAAAATCGGCCAGCAGTAACAAATCTTCTACGTACCACAACATCTTATGGATCCGTGAAGATGCTCATACAAAGGGGAATGTTTTGACTGCAGAGCATGCATCAAATACCAATACGTGTGAGGGTCTTTTTGCTCCACAACAGCGAGTAGCTCCGTCACTTTTCTCTCCATAGTTGTAAACAGGTAATTGTTGAACATTCTTTCGTGATCTTGCGTGTCGAACTTGTGATGCGCTCTCATAAATCGCACGATATAGAACAATTGATCTTCGTTTCGAATCATCTCTGGGAATCGAATCAAAAACTCGTCCAGGCCTTCTCGAGAAATTTGAAGGTATTTTTCGATGCGTTTCGACGCTCCTGGACTAAACTGGTTTTCGTCGTGCAGGAATCGTTCGCAATCCTCCAGGTTGAAATGATTCGGCATGGCTTAGTACGATTGTCTTTACTTCAGTGTTCTACAGTTGTGCTATCTGCTTTTCGCAGAAGTTCCCACTTGCGTTGCTGAGAATTCCGCACACGCTGGTTCAGTAATCTAGATCTTGGACTGTATACTTTCTCTTGATTCAGGCTTTATTGACGACAATTCAGCATTACACGTTCCGTTCTGCGATCTATCTACTCTATTACAATCTAATCCTAGGGTTACGAAAATGTCACATTTATTAGCTCAGGAAATCCACACCCGGATTCCGTGTCGGATTTAAGATTCACTTACGTTCTACAACGATTCGTGGGCACTAATTTCCTATTCCCTTTAGATTCTCTTCTAAAGGTACTACTAGATATACTTTCTCTTGATTCAGGCTTTATTGACTACAATTCAGCATTACACGTTCCGTACTGAGATCTATCCACTCTATGACAATCTAATCCTAGGGTTACAAAAATGTTGCATTTATTAGTTAAGGAATTCCACACCCAGATACGTAATTCCGCGTCGGATTCAAGATTCGCTCAAGTTCTACAACCATCCGTGGACACTTATCGGCTTTTCTTGACAATCATGCTGCTAAGTCACAACAATGCTACGCAACGACTTTCGCTGTAATTATGTATTCAGCTTTGTCAGAAAAATTCCCAAACAAATACCTTAAACGACCATAACTTCCGCAATACCAAAATCAGCGGCCGTAATTTAAATTCCATTTAAAGCAAAATCGCATTTGTTATTCTGAGTCAAACTTCCAGTCCTCCAGGAGATTATTTTTTTACGTATTCTTTAAATATCTGAGGACGCGAGTAATTTGAGGTCTTCTCCGACTCTAAGAACAATTGGAGGTCGCTCACTTTCCAGAAAATCAACAAGCTGTTGTTGAAAAAGCCAATCAAAATGCCCAGTTGGAATCCAGCCAGGAGTGGCGTGGCAAGAATAAGCGGTACAGACTGGTTGTAACATCGGACAGTGAAGGAGATATTTCGTTTGAAAACACCTTTTTAGAGATCTGCTTTTGCATAATATTTTATTTTAGTGATATTTTCACAACAATGAAAACAAAGTTCAGAGAACAATTGTACCCAACGAGATCGTCTCTACGGGGATATTGTCCAAACCCCCCCCCCCCCCCCCCTCCCTCCACCGACAAGAAATGATGTAAACTCCGAGCACTTCGGAGTAAGTGATATTTTTAATGAACCTTCGGATTGTTTTCAAGTTAAAGGATTTTAAATTACAATTTTATGAAAAACTAAGGTAGTTCTCTTATTTCAGTGTGAATCCTCGCACGCCTGCCAGTCGCTGGCGCCGCTTGCTGAAACTAAAACGAAAAAAAAAAGCTCTTTTAAGATAATCATTGGCTTCTTTTTCACTCCGCCTCTATTCTTAGCAATAGAAGTCGCCATTTCGTTTATTTATTACTCCCCAAAAACTATCAAATGCACTCAAAAGCCTAAAATTGAAAAAAGGTTTTCAGGAATCGACCAATCGAGCGAGCGAGCGAGCGAGTGCCATTCTCCACATCATATCTACAACTTGCTCTTGGGAATGCGCGCAATTTACGAGTTTAAAAAAGAAAGGATATAAAAGCTTAAAATCGAAAAAAAGGTTTACAGGAAACGACCAATCGAGCGACAGAATGCCATTCTCCACACCATATCTACAACTCACTCTTGCACATGCGCGCAATTCACGAGTTAAAAAAGGAAAGGAGGCCTGGAACTGACGGCTACGCAATTCATACTTCCTCCGTGGGAAGTGGATAGTGAAAAGTATGACTGACAATAAGAAAGGATCGGTAGAATACTATCAATGGAGTGACAAAAATATAATTCTCCAAACCCCCCCCTACTCCCCCCCCCCCCCCCCCCCCCGTACTTCAAACTCAGGAAAGGTACAAGTATTTCTATTTCAAACTTAACCACTAGGTCTTGATCAAGAGACTATAATCTCTTGGTCATGATGCAGTACCTCTAGCAAAAATCCAGTAAATTATTATTCATCATTACAGCTTTTCCTTGTATTTTTCTACTGTGGACCTTCAGCAGGTGATTACGCTGAAAGTAATGCTACTGAATATTTACATTGAGTTTTCCTTCTACCATTCTGTTTTAAACTTTATCATATGTTTACACATGCGCTCACATCTGACCACTGTGTTTTGACACTTACAGGTTGCTACTACGTATCATCTTCAAGATCCCCTTTGGACTCCTATGAAAATCAGAACTATTGTTTGAGTAGCCATCGTACAACGTCATGTAGTATATGCATACGATCCGTAGTGGCGCCCACCTGGAAATTCAAATGTCTTTTCCAGGTTCTTAACATTTTAGTTATATATAACATTTACATTAGTTTCACGCGCAATATAAGTAAAGAAATTATTACTATTATTATTTTTATTATTATTAGTTTCACGGCAATTTTTGAAAACAGTAGAGTTTTGCTCTGGTCAGAGGGTTATAACCATGATCAAAAAGTTGCAGTAAATAAACAGGAACAAAAAATCAAATGCCGGAAGTGAATGGAAAATGAAGAGGGTGATCGCTGACAAGCCGATGAAAGCAGCTTTGTAGGCTCGCTTCCTCCTGGTACAAGTGCGGAGCATCTCTTCTGCCAACTCGGGTGTCCAGTCTTTTGTAGGGTTCAAGATGTCTTTCACTTTTTCGAGTTTCTTGGGTTCAATAGATTCGACGATACGAGAGTGCTGTGGAGGAAAGTCTGTTGAGAGAGAGGGGAGGGAAAGATTTACGTGCTGAAAAACAGGCTCTATTTTATATTTTCAGGTAACATTGATAACCCTGAGTGGCAGTTGCAGCATTGGAAAGCGCAAGTTAGATAGTATGCTGAGCTAATAAAGGTGGTAAGGGGGGGGGGAGGGGGAGAGAGCTTTTAAGAGCTTTTACTCTGAATCCCAATACCTGGTTAACAAAAAAAAAAGAGGAAAACAAGGCTTTTCATTTGTAACATGAATATAACACAATCAACATAAGCAACTGAGGAGATATTTACTCCTCACTAACCTTCCGCGGCATCAATGTAGTCCTCATCCTCAGGCTCAACAACATCATCCACAGGATAAGTAGCTCGGTTTGTAACTAGAGCTTCACCTTTCTTTCCTATAAAATAAAATGATACAACAAGAAAATCTCAATTCAGATTTGTAAAATGCGTTTTGGTATTTGCACAAAAGCTTAAGACAACTATATCATAACGAATAAAATATCAAAAGAACCACCCGGGAGAGACGCCAAACGCGGCAAACCGCGTGCGATTTAATTAAATGCACTAGCTTCCAAAGCCGATGACGCATATTATCACAGCATGAAATTATAAATTTACGAATCTGTAAAGATGCCGCAAAGTAAGCGATAAGATCCTCTTTACGCGTCTTTACGAACTTCTTTACACTTTCGTAAAGATTGTCTTTACGCATTGAAAACGGTAGTACGTAAAGATCACGGAGAGACTAAAAACGCTATCTTTACGTGCCTTGTAAAAAGTCGTATAGAGAATATTTACGATATTTTACAGCGACCGTATTATTATTATTATTACTATTAAAGACGTGTAAAGTGTTAAAAGCGAAACTGGTCAAAATACCACGGTAATTCTACGGAAGATGGAGAGCAATAATTATTTCACTTCCTTGGGTATTTCTCTAAATAGAAAGTGGTTAATTATATCCATCTTATTCCTTATCGTTAACGAACATTCATTATCCTTTACGCAGTCTTTACGCTTTCCCTGCATTTACGTATCTTTACGGAACGCGGAACTTGTCCGTAAAGAAGAGGCTTTACGTTCTTTACGCAAGAGTTAAAGATGCGTAAATTTGCGATTTCATGCTGTAGTTGTAACAACACAAAACTGCATGAATTCAGAAGTGCATCCGACGCCGCTTTTATTATCTAATATTATTATAGTTGTGCCCTTCCAATTAAATGGCGCCGAAGCCACGTGCGAAGTATACTCTCTCACTAAATTAATGAACTACTTGTAACAGTCTATTGCGTCTAGAATTAACGGAACTCACTTTGCCTCGCAGTTCTCATCTTTTCGATAAACGATCTTCCATTGGAGACTTTGTCCTCAATTGCTTCACACAAAGCTTTAAGTAAGGGGACTACTACTTTCCCTTCGTTTTCCAAATCTGCAAAGCAAGCATTTTATTTTGTATCTATCCAGACGCAGTATGTTATCAATTACAAATAAAACTGACCAAAAGCAACTTCCTGTTTCCTCTTCCTCTCCCCCATTCCGCCCTTTCTCCACTTAATCCAGGCTTTCAAAACTATTGTCTCACTCGCACTTAAGTAAAATAAAATCATATCCTCATCTCACCTGAAAAATGTAACTCCTCCTCTTTCTCTCTATGTTTTATATCTTTACACACTGCAATCAAAAGAATAGTGAAACTTCTCAAACAGCTGTGTTACTTGTCTTAGGGATGAGGTACTTAACAAATTTTCCCTATCGGAGCACACATGCCAAACTAACTATGCAATTGGATGGGATAATTCTAAAATTATCACCACTAATCGGCGTTACCACCAACGCTTTTGTTTGGAGGCTTGGCATATTAATTCTGCCCACGCTCCAAGAAATCATTTGAAACATGCAGGATTTCGAACACGCTCGACTGCACAGAAGATAATAACATCTATACCAATGACATACCTGAAATTGCCGACAATGAAATGGCCTTGGACGACAAGTTTGAGACCGATAGCAAAGAAGAAGACGAATAAACACTTCATTCTTGAAGTTATCACTAAATACGACGGCTGCTTTAGGAGTCATCACTTAAATAAAAGTCATTGACAAACAATGATTTAGCGTAGGACTAGTAATTTGTATTTGTTGATGATCGCTCGGCTGATAGCCGAATAAACATTCGATTTGCGGTATTTGTGCGTATTTCAGCTTATCATATAATGTATGGTAGTCTCCTGCATTTATTCCAAGGCTACGGCTTTGTTTTAGAACAGCATGGTACCGCAAAATACCGGCGAACAATTGCTGTAACCTATAGAAGAGAATCATAACATCAGACGACTCAACAAAAATAATCAACTATACAGGAATAAGAAAAAATTCTACATCAGTTTTATTCGCTGCGCTCTATAAAAGAGATGCATGCATGGTGATCGATGGAATTTTAAGCTATCTAATCATATAGAAACATGACTTAAATAATGATTGTAACATGATTCCCTGAAAAAAAGCGTTCTAAGTTATTCTAAAAGCTTTGTTAGCGACGAACCTCCAACATCCCAGACCTAGATTTTTCACCACCTGTGCGAACCCTGTAGAGGGTTTATAAACTCGAATCTTCTTACCAGTCATTTTAGCGATGCTGTTCATGATGCAGAGTGGGGGGGGGGGGGTGGAATAAACCATGGAAACGATTTTACTTCTATTTATACCTTGTGAGCTCACAATAATTTGGAAAGATGACTTAAATAAAGACTTACCTTGAGGTCTTCATTTTCTTGGTTCAAGTTCACCGTCCTTCAGAGGACTGTCCGGTTGCCATAAAAATTTGAAGAAATTTCAATTTCTATTTAAAGCGAAATCGCATTTGTTATTATTAGTAGTCAAACTTTCAGTCCTCCAGCATATTTTTTACGTATTCTTTAAATATCTGAGGAAGCGAGTAATGTGAGGTCGTCTCCTACTCTAAGAACAATTGGAGGTCGCTCAGTTTCCAGAAAGTCAGCAAGCTGTTGTTGAAAAAGCCAATCAAAATGCCCAGTTGGAATCTAGCCAGGAGTGGCGTGGCAAGAATAAGCGGTACAGACTGGTTGTAACATCAGACAGTGAAGGAGATATTTTGTTTGAAAACACCTTTTTAGAGATCTGCTTTGCGTAATATTTTATTTTCATAATATTTTCACAGCAAGGAAAACAAAGATCAGCGAATAATTGTACCCAACGAGATCGTCTCTGCGGGTATATTGTCCGAACCCCCCGTCCCTCCCCCGACAAGAAATGATGTAAACTCCGATCGCTTCGGAGTAAGTGATATTTTTAATGAACCTTCGGATTGTTTTCAAGTTACAGGATTGTAAATTACAATTGGATGGGATAATTCTAAAATTATCACCCTTTTGTTTGTAGGCTTGGCATGTTAACTCTGCCCACGCTCCAAGAAATTTCGAACACGCTCGACTGCACAGAAGATAATAACATCTATACCAATGACATACCTGAAATTGCCGACAATGAAATGGCCTTGGACGACAAGTTTGAGACCGATAGCAAAGAAGAAGACGAATAAACACTTCATTCTTGAAGTTATCACTAAATACGACGGCTGCTTTAGGAGTCATCACTTAAATAAAAGTCATTGACAAACAATGATTTAGCGTAGGACTAGTAATTTGTATTTGTTGATGATCGCTCGGCTGATAGCCGAATAAACATTCGATTTACGGTATTTGTGCGTATTTCAGCTTATCATATAATGTATGGTAGTCTCCTGCATTTATTCCAAGGCTACGGCTTTGTTTTAGAATAGCATGGGGTTATAGGCTTGAAAAACCAATCCAAAATACCGGCGAACAATTGCTGTAACCTTTACAAGAGAATCATAATATCAGACGACTCAACAAAAATAATCAACTATACAGGAATAAGAAAAAATTCTACATCAGTTTTATTCGCTGCGCTCTATAAAAGAGATGCATGCATGGTGATCGATGGAATTTTAAGCTATCTAATCACATAGAAACATGACTTAAATAATGATTGTAACAATCAATCGCAAAATGTTAAAAACTCTTGGCATTAAGTGGTGAGTTTGTGTTTGATTTAAGGCATTGACTTTGGTAATAATCAATTAACATTGTCTTGCTCCACTCTTTTGTAGATATCAAACATCTCTGAAAAACATGATCAAAGGAAAATGAGGAACACCAGGATGCAAAAATGTAAAATCGTAAATATGTACAAAGGATTTGTAATTCCGGACGTTTGAGGAGATATGCTACAAAGCATTGTCTTAAGGAACCGTCCTCAAACATAGTCGCTCGTAAGTTCAGCCGCTGGCGAGTGTCTTTGCGGTCGTTTCTCTCTTACAGAGCTCACCAAACAAGCCATGCTTCCGTTGCTGTTAGGTGTTGAGCTCAAGAGTGATGGAGTGGATCCGCCAAACAGAAGGGATGAAGAACGACCCAGATGCCTGTTTCCAGCCTCCATGTTGGCGGTTTCATCTGTTAAAGCTGACCATAAAGTTTACGTATCTCCTCCTGAAAACCAACAGGTGACAATTTGGATCAATGTCAGTAACTGAATAACTGCGCACCTATCCCTCCCCTGACCCAAAATTAGCCCCGACTTGTTATCAGTTGATAGTTGTCTGGTTAGGGTAGGGGTAGGGGGCGCAGTTGCGTAGATACTGACATTGATCCGACAATAATTTAAATAGAAAGCGATTTTATTTTAAGCTGAGTTATTCATTGTAAGTTTGAGTAGGTTGCTTCCGTTGTTGTTAGGTGTTGAGATCAAGAGTGATGAAGTGGATCCGCTAAACAGAAGGGATGAAGAACGACCCAGATGCTTGTTTCCAGCCTCCATGTTGGCGGTTTTCATCTGTTAAAGCTGACCATAAAGTTTACGTATCTCCTCCTGAAAACCAACAGGTGATAATTTGGATCAATGTCAGTAACTGAATAACTGCCCACCTACCCCTCCCCTGACCCAAAATTAGCTCCGACTTGTTATCAGTTGATAGGTGTCTGGTTAGGGTAGGGGTAGGGGGCGCAGTTGCGTAGATACTGACATTGATCCGACAATAATTTAAATAGAAAGGGATTTTATTTTAAGCTGAGTTATTCATTGTAAGTTTGAGTAGGTTGCTTCCGTTGTTGTTAGGTGTTGAGCTCAAGAGTGATGAAGTGGATCCGCTAAACAGAAGGGATGAAGAACGACCCAGATGCTTGTTTCCAGCCTCCATGTTGGCGGTTTTCATCTGTTAAAGCTGACCATAAAGTTTACGTATCTCCTCCTGAAAACCAACAGGTGATAATTTGGATCAATGTCAGTAACTGAATAACTGCCCACCTACCCCTCCCCTGACCCAAAATTAGCTTCGACTTGTTATCAGTTGATAGTTGTCTGGTTAGGATAGGGGTAGGGGTAGGGGGCGCAGTTGCGTCGAAACTGACATTGATCCGACGATAATTTAAATAAAAAGGGATTTTATTTTAAGCTGAGTTATTCATTGTAAGTTTGAATAGGTTGATTGACGCCCCTTAAGGCTCTTAAGTCACAGTTTGAGAATATTTGATCAATAACTTCTTATTTGACCATTTCCCCAAAATGGCTCTTCAGGGCCAATCGTGATAAGCAAAAGCAACAAACATTACAAATAATATAAGTTCTTCTCGAATTCCTCGAGGTTTCGCAACATTGTAAACTTAGCCTGTAAATTTTTTGGTATAGTTACGATCTTCACATTCTTTCGACCTCAGTAACCGTTTGGAATACCTTGACGTTTTTCATAACCCACGATTAAGGAGTTAGTTGTAAAATTTGAAAGCAGATCATTCTATCAGAGCACTTCTAGACTTCTAGTTTCCAGTTCCCTGAAAAAAGCGTTCTAAGTTATTCTAAAAGTTTTGTTGGCGACGAACCTCCAATTTCCCAGACCTAGATTTCCCACCACCTGTGCGAACCCTATAGAAGGTTGATAAACTGGAAACTTCTTACCAGTCATTTTAGCGCTGCTGTTCGTCAAGGGAGGTGGAATAAACCATGGAAATGATTTTTACTTCTATTTATACCTTGTGAGCTCACAATAATTTGGAAAGATGACTTAAATAAAGACTTACATTAAGGTCTTCATTTTCTTGGTTCAAGTTCACCGTCCCTTCAGAGGACTGTCCGATTGCCATAAAAATTTGAAGAAATTTAGATTTTCATTTAAAACGAAATCGCATTTGTTATTCTGAGTCAAACTTCCGGTCCTCCAGGAGATTTTTTACGTTTTCTTTAAATATCTGAGGACGCGAGCAATGTGAGGTCGTCTACGACTCTAGGAACAATTGGAGGTCGCTCAGTTTCCAGAAAGTCAACAAGCTGTTGTTGAAAAAGCCAATCAAAATACCCAGTTGGAATTCAGCCAGGAGTGGCGTGGCAAGATTAAGCGGTACAGGCTGGTTGTAATATCGGACAGTGAAGGAGATATGTTGTCTGAAAACACAATTTTAGAGGTCTACTGTTGAGTAATATTTTACTCAATATTTACTTGGGAAGATTTATTAACGTAAGACAGAGAGGTGTGGTTAAGGAGGCTTTTAATCTCTCAGCAGGAGTGTAGATCCATATGAAACCCACACGTAATTAACTCTGACAAGGCCTGTGGTGGCTATTACTTCTGACGACTTCTTTCCTCGTTTTTTCTTGATCCACATCTTAATAAACCGGGCCGTTACAAAACAGGGCACGACGTGATAGCATTGAGGGAAAAAAAAAGGAAAGGAGGCCTGGAACTGACGGCTACCCAATTCATACTTCCGTGGGAAGTGGATAGTGAAAAGTATAACTGACAATGAGAAAGGATCGGTAGAGTACTATGGAGTGACAAAAATATTAATCTCCAACCCCCCTCATCCCCCTCCCCCCCCCTCCCAAAAACAACAAATGATGACCGGTCCGCCCTGGCTAATCCTATTTAGCATGCAATATTTCTTAATTTGAAGGGGAAAAGCGCAAGTAATTCAAAATATCAGTTTCATAACAGATTTTATTTACTTTAAACTCAGGAAAGATACAAGGTATTTTTATTTCAAACTTTGCCACTAAATCTTCATCAAGAGACTATATCTCTTGGTCATGATGCAGTAATTCTGGCGAAACTTCAGTCAACCCTTAATGAACACTTACAGTTTTTCCTTGTATTTTTCTACTGCGGGCCTTCGGCAGGTGATTACGCTTAAGTCATGCTACTGAATATTTACATTAAGTTTTCCTTCTACCATTCTGTTTTGAACTTTATCAAACGTTTACACATGCGCAGACGTCTGACCACTGTTTTTTGACACTTACAGGTTGCTACTACGTATCATCTTCAAGATCCTATTTGGACTCCTGTGAACTTCAGAGCTATTGTTTGAGTAGCCATCGTGCTACGTCATATAGTATATGCATACGATCCATAGGGGCGCCTACCTTGAAATTCAAATGTCTTTTCCAGGTTCTTAAACTTTTGGTTATATAAGACATTTTCATTAGTTCCACGGCAGTTTTTGAAAACAGTAGAGTTTTGCTTTGGTCAGAGGGTTATAACCATGATCAAAAAGTTGACGTAAATAAACAGGAACAAAAAATCAAATGCCGGAAGTGAATGGAAAATGAAGAGGGTGATCGCTGACAAGCCGATGAAAGCAGCTTTGTAGGCTCGCTTCCTCCTGGTACAAGTGCGGAGCATCTCTTCTGCCAACTCTGGTGTCCAGTCTTTTGTAGGATTCAAGATATCTTTAACTTTTTCGAGTTTCTTGGGTTCACCAGACTCGACGATGCGAGAGTGCTGTGGAGGAAAGTCTATTGAGAGAGAGGAAGGAAAGATTTAGAAACTGAAAAACAGGCTCTATGTTATATTTGCAGGTAACATTGATAACCCTGAATGGCAGTTGTAGTATTGAAATTATAAATTTACGAATCCGTAAAGATGCCGTAAAGTAAGCGTTAAGATCCTCTTTACGCGTCTTTACGAACTTCTTTACACTTTCGTAAAGATTGTCTTTACGCATTGAAAACGGTAGTATGTAAAGATCACGGAGAGAGACTAAAAAACGCCATCTTTACGTGCCTTGTAAAAAGTCATAAAGAGAATATTTACGATATTTTACGGCGACTGTATTATTTTTATTGCTATCAAAGACGCGTAAAGTGTAAAAGCGAAGCTGGTCAAAATACCACGGTAATTCTACGGAAGATGGATGATCCATAATCATTTCACCTCTTTGAGTATTTCTCCAAATAGAAAGTGCTTAATTATATCCATCTTGATCCTTATCCTTTTACGAACATTGAATATCCCTTACGCAGTCTTTAAGCTTTCCCTGCATTTACGCATCTTTACGGAACGCGAAACTTGCCCTTAAAGAAGAGGCTTCATATCTACGTTCTTTACGCAAGAGTTAAGGATGCGTAAATTTGCGATTTTATGCTGCGATTATAACAATACAAAACTGCATGAATTCAGGAGTGCGTCCGACGCTACTTTTATTATCTTATGTTATCATAGTTGTGCCCTTCCAATCAAAATGACGCCGAAGCCACGAGTACTCTCACACTAAATTGCAAATGAACTATTTGTAACAGTATATTGCGTTTAGAATTGACGGAACTCACTTTGCCTCGCAGTTGTCATCTTTTCGTTGAACGATCTTCCAGTGGAGACTTTGTCCTCAATTGCTTCACACAAAGCTTTAAGTAAGGGGACTACTACTTTCCCTTCATTTTCCAAATCTGCAAAGCAAGTATTTCATTCTATCCAGACGCAGTATGTTATCAATTACAAATGAAACTGACCAAAAGCAGCTCACTGTTTCCTCTTCCTCTCCCCCATTTCGCCCTTTCTCCACTTAATCCAGGCTTTCAAAACTACTGTCTCACTCGCACTTAAGTCAAATAAAATCATATCCTCATCTCACCTGAAAAATGTAACTCCTCCTCTTTCTCTCTATGTTTTATATCTTTACACACTGCAATCAAAAGAATAGTGAAACTTCTCAAACAGCTGTGTTACTGGTCCTAGGGATGAGGTACTTAACAAAAATTTCCCTGCAGTGAAGGATATCATTCTCTTACAGCGAGCAGCAGAGGCCTTTTTTCTATCAATAGAACGTAAGCCTAGTCGAGAGAACATAAACTCGTGTTTTCTTAATCCTGAGCCAACCTAATAACTCAGATTGAGTGTATGAACTTTCAACTTCAGAATCAGTCAGGAATTGCAGTTTTAATTTGGAACAACTAAACTGTTCTTTCCGTCTGCCAGGACCTGTAATTTCGTTTTTCGAACGGCCGCTTTTTCACGTCATTGATTTCCTCAGCGAATCAATCGTGCGACGATCAATTATCGCATGAAGTATTAAAACACATTTTTTAAACCACTAAAAATCGTTAGGTTGCGTCGTTCCAAAGTCAAATTCAGTTCGGCTTACAAAAAACGAACGGTCTTGGAGACTTTCGAGTACTGTTGCATATTGCACCACTGGGATCGGCAATTTCAAACGTCAACAAAGATTACAACATCGATGAAAATAGAAATAGTACGTGATGTTGAGCTTATTGCTTAACATCAAGTGTTATTTCTATTTTTATCGATGTTGTAATCTTTGGTGAGTTTGAAGGGGGTTTTTCTAAATAATTAACTAACTTAACTATTAAAGACGTGTAAAGTGTTAAAAGCGAAACTGGTCAAAATACCACGGTAATTCTACGGAAGATGGAGAGCAATAATTATTTCACTTCTTTGAGTATTTCTCTAAATAGAAAGTGGTTAATTATATCCATCTTATTCCTTATCCTTAACGAACATTCACTATCCTTTACGCAGTCTTTACGCTTTCCCTGCATTTACGTATCTTTACGGAACGCAGAACTTGTTCGTAAAGAAGAGGCTTTACATTTACGTTCTTTACGCAAGAGTTAAAGATGCGTAAATTTCCGATTTCATGCTGTGGTTGTAACAACACAAAACTGCATGAATTACGGAATGCATCCGACGCCGCTTTTATTATCTAATATTATTATAGTTGTGCCCTTCCAATTAAAATGGCGCCGAAGCCACGTGCGAAGTATACTCTCTCACTAAATTAATGAACTACTTGTAACAGTATATTGCGTCTAGAATTAACGGAACTCACTTTGCCTCGCATTTCTCATCTTTTCGATAAACGATCTTCCATTGGAGACTTTGTCCTCAATTGCTTCACACAAAGCTTTAAGTAAGGGGACTACTACTTTCCCTTCGTTTTCTAAATCTGCAAAGCAAGCATTTTATTTTGCATCTATCCAGACGCAGTATGTTATCAATTACAAATAAAACTGACCAAAAGCAACTTCCTCTTCCTCTTCCTCTCCCCCATTCCGCCCTTTCTCCACTTAATCCAGGCTTTCAAACTATTGTCTCACTCGCACTTAAGTAAAATAAAATCATATCCTCATCTCACCTGAAAAATATAATTCCTCCTCTTTCTCTCTATGTTTTATATCTTTACACACTGCAATCAAAAGAATAGTGAAACTTCTCAAACAGCCGTACGCGTGTCATTAGTCTTAGGGATGAGGTACTTAACAAAAACTTCCCCACTGAAGGATATCATTTTCTTTCACCAAGCAGCAGAAGCCTCATCAATAGAACGTAAGCTTAGTCGAGAGAACTTAAACTCGTCTTCTCTTAATCCTGAGCCAACCTAATAACTCAGATTGACTGCATGAACGTTCGGCTTCAGAATCAGTCAGGAACTGCATTTTTAATTTGGAACAACTAAGCTGTTCTTTCAGTCTGCCAGGGCCTGTAATTTGGACTTTTGAACAGCCACATTTTCACGTTATTGATTTAGTCAGCGAAATCGATCAATTATCGCATTAAGTATACAAACACCCTTTTTTTAACCACTGAAAATCGTCAGGTTGCGTCGTTCCAAAGTCAAATTCAGTTCGGCTTACAAAGAGACTTTCGAGTACTGTTGCATATTGTACCACTGGGGTCGGCAATTTCGAACGTCAACAGAGATTACAACATCGATGAAAATAGAAATAACACATGATGTTGAGCTTATTGCTCAACAAGTGTCAATCACGTGTTATTTCTATTTTCATCGATGTTGTAATCTTTGGTGAGTTCGAAGGGGGTTTTTTTTTTGGATATCCAACAACAAAATTCATCATTTGATTCAGAGTTCGTTGACGTTCTAAAATGCAACCATTTCCCGTGCGTAAATACAGAACAACATATGTACTTTTCTTTACTTATGGATATTGGTCAACAGACTGATGTTAATTTTGCTCCGCGCTACAGATAGGCATTTATGACCGATAATTAATCTCCATTCAGAAGAGAACTAGAAGGAAAAATTTCGAAAACAGGGAACTGGATAACATGATATAGAGCAAGACCCCAAAATATCGTAATTGTTGAAGATAACAACAAAAATAACAAGAATCAAGTAAGTCCTACATTACAAATTGCCCATGACGTCACTATTTCGAAGTAAAATTATTCATTGCAAAGGTAAGGGAATCATGAATTTCAGGACCTAAATATCTCACCAAATGATAAACGTTCAAAATCGGCCTGCAATCACAAATCTTCTACGTACCACAACATTTTATAGATCCGTGGAGATGCTCATACAAAGAGGAATGTTTTGACTGCAGGGCATGTATCAAATACCAATACGTGTGGGGGTCTTTTTGCTCCACAACAGCGAGTAGCTCCGTCACTTTTCTCTCCATAGTTGTAAACAGGTTACTGTTGAAAATTCTTTCGTGATCTTGCGTGTCGAACTTGTGATGCGCCCTCATAAATCGCACGATATAAAACAATTGATCCTCATTTCGAATCATCTCTGGGAATCGAATCAAAAACTCGTCTAGGCCTTCTCGAGAAATTTGAAGGTATTTTTCGATGCGTTTCGACGCTCCTGGACTAAACTGGTTTTCGTCGTGGAGGAATCGTTCACACTCCTCCAGGTTGAAATGATTCGGCAT